AAAATCCCTAATACAATTTTATTAACTATAGTTCTTATGCTTGTACATTAGATCTGTAGACTTATCCTATATGTCTCCTATTTTGTATCCTTTGACCTACATATGCACATTTCTTCTCTATCCCCTCTTCATGACCTCCTGTGGTAACCAATGTCTCATTCTCTATCTCTGTGCATTCAAGCTTTTATGTGTGTATGTATGTGTATACATATATATATATTTTTTCTTCATATAAGTGGGATAATGAGATATTTTTCTTTCTGTGTCTGGCTTATTTTACTTAGCACAATGTCCTCCAGGTCCATCCATGTTGTGGCAAATGGCAGAGATCCTCTCCTTTCTTTTTAAGGCTGAGTGATAGTCCATTTATATATACACAATGTTCTTTATCCATTGTCTGCCAATGGGTATATATAGGCTGTTTCTGTACCTTGGCTATTGTAAATAATGCTACAATGAAAATGGGAGTGCAGATTTTATATGGTTAACTGATTTTCAACAAAAGCACCAAGAGGACACAATGGGGTCCAATAAATGGTGCTGCAAAAACTGGATTTCCACATGTAAAAGAATGCAATTGGACCCTTAACTTATACCATATACAAAATCAACTCAAAATGAAGACCCAAATATAAGACCTGAAACAATAAATCTTCTAGAAGAGATCATAGGGGAAAAGCTCTGTCATAGTTTTTTTTTTTTTTTGAGACAGAGTCTTGCTTTGTTGCCCAGGCTAGAGTGAGTGCCGTGGCGTCAGCCTAGCTCACAGCAACCTCAAACTCCTGGGCTCAAGCAATCCTCCTGCCTCAGCCTCCCAAGTAGCTGGGACTACAGGCATGCGCCACCATGCCCGGCTAATTTTCTATATATATTAGTTGGCCAATTAATTTCTTTCTATTTATAGTAGAGACGGGGTCTCGCTCTTGCTCAGGCTGGTTTCGAACTCCTGACCTCGAGCAATCCGCCCGCCTCAGCCTCCCAGAGTGCTAGGATTACAGGCGTGAGCCACCGCGCCCGGCTGTCTGTCATAGTTTTTAAAAATTATATGTATTTTATTAATATTATGTTTGGTTTATTTCTTTCTCTACAAAATGGGTATCCTTTGCACTTTAATTTGTAAACAATTTTATTTCAGAAGGTTTCCTTTTGGTTCTAATGGTTATTTTTGGACATATACATTTTTTGATGCTCTTGGTTCTCTGTTTTCTTATTTAACCTTTTGCTATTAGGTTTCTAAGTTTTACTTGGTATTATTTTGTGTTTCTTCTTCAGGGACTCCAATAATATGAATGTTAATCCTTCTCTGTCTGCCTTGCTTTTGCACTAATTTCTCTTTAATCCTTTAAAATTATTTCTTTATTTCATTTTCATTCTCTCAGGGTTTTTTCCTTGCATTTATTCAATGACCTTTATTAAAATTTCATTTTAGTCTATTTGCCTTTGTGTACCTTGTATGATGATATATTCTTCAATTCTGAGATCATTTTGTCTTTTCCTTCCATTTCTTTCCTGAATTCAATCAAATCAAATTTTTTCTTTTCCCAATAAGGTCTGAACCTCAGCCCTCAGGCAGGGGCAGAACAGTTCTTGGATGCTTAGTATCAGCTCTAGGAGCACTAGTATCAGCTCTAGGAATAGTAGCTGCACCATATATTTGTTATTCCTGCATTCTTTTTTTTTTTTTTAAATTGAGACAGAGTCTTGCTTTGTTGCCTAGGCTAGAGTGAGTGCCGTGGCATCAGCCTAGCTCACAGCAAGCTCAAACTCCTGGGCTCAAGCGATCCTCCTGCCTCAGCCTCCCAAGTAGCTGGGACTACTGGCATGCGCCACCATGCCCGGCTAATTTTTTTTTTATATATATATATTAGTTGGCCAATTAATTTCTTTCTATTTATAGTAGAGACGGGGTCTCGTTCTTGCTCAGGCTGGTTTCGAACTCCTGCCTCAGCCTCCCAGAGAGCTAGGATTATAGGTGTGAGCCACCACGCCCCGGCTTATTCCTGCATTCTTTACATTTTTTTTTTTTATTTCTTACTACTCAATTCTATGTTATTCCAATTCTCTGTTATTGACTCCAGTTAACAATAGTTTATTGTATATTTTAAAATAGCTAGAAGACAAGATTTGAAATGTTCCTAACATAAAGAAATGATAAATGTTTGAGGTGATGGATATCCTAATTACCCTGATTTGATCATTACATATTGTATTTATGTATCAAAATATCACATATACCCCATAATACATTTTTAATTGTGAATCAATAAAAAAATTTTTAAGTAATTTTTTTTTTGAGACAAAGTCTCGTTTTGTTGCCCAGGCTAGAGTGAGTACAGTGGCGTCAGCCTAGCTCACAGCAACCTCAAACTCCTGAGCTCAAGCAATCCTACTGCCTCAGCCTCCTGAATAGCTGGAACTACAGGCATGCACCACCATGCCCGGCTAATTTTTTCTTTATATATTAGTTGGCCAATTAATTTCTTTCTGTTTATAGTAGAGATGGGGTCTTGCTCTTGCTCAGGCTGGTTTCAAACTCCTGACTTCGAGCAATCCACCCGCCTCAACCTCCTAGAGTGCTAGGATTACAGGCGTGGACCACCACGCCAGGCCTTAAGTAATTCTTTATATTTTTTCTACTCAAATTATTGTGTGGTTTCTCTCTCCTGATTAGACCCAAACTGATATATCTTTTTTCCTTCACCACCCAACTGACAAAGGGCACTTCTCCCCCTCCCCTTTTTTTTTGAATCATGCATATTTTTACTTCCTTTAAGGCCATCATCTGATCTATCCAGACACTTTTAGGATGGGTTTAGTCTTTCTGGCCTTGATTTTAGATCAACCTTAAGTTCCATTGCTAACTACCTTCTTCCCCACAGTTTTTCTTGGTCTGCCTTTATAAAGCCTGTGACAGGGTTAGGTAAAGCAGAAGCACGAGAGATATTGCACTAGGATTTGGTATCTGGTTTTTTTCTTCTCTTTTTTCTTATATTTATTATATTATTTTTTCAAAATAATCATTTTAAAGTTTGGGCATCCTCTGTCTTCAAGTTATGCTTGAGGACATTTTCTGTGTATGATTTTAGTTCTCCTTTTTTGTTATTCTGTGTTGTTTTGGAGGAAACATGGAAGGTGGGAACTTAAACTGCCTTCATCATCTTTAAGCTACCTTTATGTCCAATCACCTGTTTTTTTTTAAGTTTGAAACTTATTTATTCTTTTTGTTTTTTTGTTTTATTTTGTTTTTATTTTTAATAATATAGCATGTTGGCGGGGGGAGGTCTTCTGGTGAGGACTAGAAAACCTACTAGACAAATTCTAAAAGAACTATAACACTAGAGACTTCTACTTCTAACAATCAAAAAAGAAGGACATAGCCGGGCGTGGTGGCTCACGCCTGTAATCCTAGCACTTTGGGAGGCTGAGGCGGGCGGATTGCTCAAGGTCAGGAGTTCAAAACCAGCCTGAGCGAGACCCCGTCTCTACCAAAAATAGAAATAAATTAATTGACCAACTAAAAATATATATACAAAAAATGAGCCGGGCATGGTGGCGCATGCCTGTAGTCCCAGCTACTAGGGAGGCTGAGGCAGTAGGATCACTGAGCCCCGGAGACTGAGGTTGCTGTGAGCTAGGCTGACGCCACGGCACTCACTCTAGCCTGGGCAACAAAGTGAGACTCTGTCTCAAAAAAAAAAAAAAAAAAAAAAAAAAAAAAAAAAAAAAAAAAGAAGGACAAAAGCACTAAACCAAAATTTCTAGACTGGCTCCAGCTCTGCCACTAATATTTATCTAAAGTTGAACGCTTCACTTCAGTGTTAGGATTACTTCCTCATTTGTAAAATGGGGTAAGCTGGATAGGGCAGCACGTTCCAAACTCTGATAAGCATGAACACTTAATGCATGTGGACTTCTGTGTTCCACCCCTAGGCATTCTGATTCAACAGGTCTAGGGTGGTTCCTAAAAATAGATATATATATTTTTAAAAATCTATGGTGATTCTGATACAGCTTGTCAGAGTCTCACAGTTAGGAAATTTTAGACAAGATAATTATGGTATCAACTCTAGTTATATGAGTCCATGCAAAATTTTCTGATTTAACAAGTCCTAGTGATCCCATCTTTCAATATAATAATCATGAGAGCCAGGCGCTGGGGCACGTGCCTGTAGTCCCAGCTACTCAGGAGGCTGAGGTAGGAGTTCAATGCTACAGTGTGCTATGATTGCACCTGTGAATAGTCACTCTGCTCAGACTGGACAACATAGTGAAATCAAGTCTCAAAAACAACACCACCACCACCACCACCAAAACGAAGCAAAAAACAAAGCAATGGATTAATGGTAAAGCATCCCAATTAACTTAGATTGTATAATGGTTTTTCCTATTCACTTTTTTTTTTAACCAAACAGTTTAAAGCAACCACAGTGGGTAAAAAATGGGTCAGTTAAAAAAAAAAAAAAAAAGAAACCAAAAACAAAAGAAAATAAAAAACAAAAGGAAATGTATTAAATATACATAAAGGAAAAACACCAAAAACAAAAAATGAAGAACAAGGAAATATACCATAACCTGCTCCTAATACACTGTAAAAATTTAATCATTTTCTTAAGAGGAACATGCTACATGTTTTGTTCCCACTAAACTTGAACACAGTATAGTTTTATGTAATTGTGGCACATTCTTTTCAGGGTGCCAAATATTCTTTGGAAATGCAACTAATGCCCTTCTCATTTTGAAGGAAACTCACTGTAAATTTGACATCAACAAGTCACATAAGCTCTAAGCTCCCACTTCACAGTATAATCCATTAGTACTTTCTAAAACAAGTAATGCCAAAGGCATATACTAGAGCACTATTAATTCAAGGAAATCCATACGTTTTCCCCTATGCCTTTACATTTGGCTATCTGAGGGCATCTGGATGAAATAAAAGAAATTTCTGCAAATACAAGTACATCCAGGAAAAGATGCCACTAAAGGGTCTGCTTAGGACATACCCAATTGCAGCAGGGGTCAAGCGGGTGTGCATCTGTGGGGTGGTAGAAGTGGTGGTGGTTGTCAGGGAGCCATCAGTTCCAGTCTTCTCCCAGTCGAAAGGGTCATTCTCAGTTACTCCAAAGGTCTTGATGCTGTTGTCAAACACGGATGTAAGAAGCTAAATCACAAAGACAAAAATTAGAGTAAGCCAACAGTAAACACAGTCACTTTCTTCTATAAGAGAAAGCACCCCAGACTCATAAAATAATTTTGTAATATGATTTTCTTTAAAAAGTGATGGTTCGAATAGGGAAATTTGAATAAAAACTATACATAGATGATGTTGAATTTATGTTGATTTTTCTCAGTTGTGTAGGAGAATGTTTATGTTTTTGGAAGATATACATAATGAATCATATCTATCTACTTTCTAATCTACTTTCATATCTAATCTACTTTCAGATAGTTTAGAAAAAGGATATGTGTTGTGTGATGTATATGTGTAAGTGTGTATTCAATTGACCACCTATTTTACCATTTATTTGTCAAAAAGCACACAAAATCAAGAACATTTTCATATGGTTCAACCTAAAAAAGTGACAAGAGTTAACAGATGGTATGTTTAGGTAAGGAGCATATACAAGTTCAATGTGCTTTCTTCCAATTTTTTCTTTTTGTGGATGTGAAAAATTCTTAAAATATGTGTGTTTCCATGTACAAATTATCAAAAAGAAATGTGCCCTATTAGTGTGATTTATGTAGTATATAATTTCATTTTTTGTCTTTAAATTCCTAAATTTTGATGTGGTCTTCAGAAGGATCTCATAAAGACCTTTACTGCTTCTGTCAATAAGCATCATTTTCAATTTTATGATTATGGCTTCATTCTCTCCTTATCATTTGTTAACCCTGTTAGTATCCTGTCCTCTGAGATTCATCATATACATTTCCTGCCCCAGATATGAAATCAGCACTTCTTTTTTTTTTGAGACAGTCTCACTTTGTTGCCCAGGCTAGAGTGAGTGCCGTGGCGTCAGCCTAGCTCACAGCAACCTCAAACTCCTGGGCTCAAGCGATCCTCCTGCCTAAGCCTCCCAAGTAGCTGGGATTACAGTCATGTGCCACCATGCCCAGCTAATTTTTTCTATATATATATTAGTTGGCCAATTAATTTCTTTCTATTTTTAGTAGAGACAGGGTCTCGCTCTTGCTCAGGCTGGTTTTGAACTCCTGACCTCGAGCAATCCGCCGGGCCTCCCAGAGTGCTAGGATTACAGGCGTGAGCCACCACGCCCGGCCCAGCACTTCTTCATTGGAGGACTTTGTGCAGGTCTGTTTTAGGCTTTAAAAAGATTACTCCAGCTATTAAGTGGACAACAGATGCCATAAACATGAATGGAGATGAGGGTGCTTGGAACAGATGAACACTTAGGAGGCTACTGTCAGTTGAACCAGGATGGTAACAGTAGAGGTGATAAGCAGTGGTAGGATTTGGACATAATCTGGTGGTAGAGCCAACAGTCCTTGCTGATAGGTTAGATAAAAGCTGTGAGAGTAAGGAAAGAATAAAGGATAACTTAGATTTTTGTCCCAAGTCACTGGGTAAATGCAGTGAGATGGAAAACAGTGAGTTTGGGGATTGGGATATTGGAATTTTATAGGGTTTAGGGAGGAATAGGAAATGGACACAAATTTGGGTGCCATCAGCTGATATCAACAAGTATTATTTAAAGCCATAGGACTTGCTGGTATCATTGAGGGACAGTAGAGAGCAAAGAGGTCCAAGAGCTAAGGCGTACAGTACTCCAACATTTAGATGGAAGGAAGAGAAGGACTCAGCAAAGGAAACAAAAAAGGAGTGTGGCCAGTGAAGTAGGAAAACCAAGACGCAGTGTTCTAGACTACAAGTGAAGATATCATTTTAATAAGGAGAATGGTCAAATCTTATCAATTGTAAATATAATTATTTATGATTATTTCTCTTTTTTCTAACCTAGATTATAAGCTCTAAGAAGCTGGTATTTGTCTGATCGTATTCATTACTGTATCTCCAGGGTCTAACACATTGCCTTATACATAATACTCTAAAATTATTCTGAGAACAAATGTTTATTTGGAATATTTACTGAGCCACATGACCCTGCCTTTCACTTAAGTACTCAAAAGAAAAATAATATATGTAGAAAAAGAAACTAAAAAGATAAAAGGGAAGGTTATAAAATCTTGAAGATCTATTTTGGTCCTATTTTTGTTGATCTAAGTTACCTATGTTATAGCTTAGACCTCCCTGAAATGTCAGAAATAGAGGGCTGTTGGAAACACTAAAGAGGAAACAAACATGGATTGGGATCAAGTATATGGGAATTGAAGTGCCAGACCTTTGACCCACTCTCCTGACTCTGAAATTAAAGTTCTCATAGGTTCTCACAGAGTAAGATCCATGCTTCCCAGAAGGTGGAGTCCCTATAAATGAGGCATCATTTGCCCTGCTGTGTGAGCACTTAGACTGCCTCTGATAAATCTCTGCCAATACCGTGCTGCAATGGGAATGATCCTAAATTGCTTTTATGTCAGATGTCCTTTTACCATGGAATTATCTTCTTACATTTATCATAGGATAGTATTGTATGTCTTAGAAAACGTATTCTATGGCATTAGACCTCAAATTGGAAATAGTTTGTTACTATGATGATGATACTAGAGACCAGCAGCAGGAGGCAGAAAGAGGACACAGAACAAAAGAAACAAGAGGAAAGCTAAAAGCACCGAGGCACTTAAAGGCACCCTAGGGGGAATAAATGGTCCAACTGGGAAGAGTGCTGCAGATATTTTAAAAAGAAAAACATTTCTAATCTAGCAAAATAATTTTCTAATTCAGGACCAGGGTGGCTCTAAGTCTTAACTTTAATAAGACTGGGATAGTAGAAATAGGACATGTCAAGGATTCACTTTTTTGGTAACTGAATTCATTATATCACATTTGACTAAGATAAATAATAAAGTTAGAAAATTCTAATTCAGATACTCATTCAAATAGGCTTGAGAATAATATAAATTAGTCCCTTATAAACTGTTCATAAATATAGTAGTGTGTGCATACATGCATGTGTGTGTAAAACTTAAATGGTTGTCATTCCTTTTTCACCCCAATACAACTGGGGAATAAAACACCTTCTCCTCAAAACAGAGTCACCATAGCTGTAATCCACAAACTGAAAAGGGGGCAAGGTGAAATCTGAAAACACTTGCAGATGATTCTGACAGTTCCCTCCAAAAGGCATGTCCCATATCTCTCTATTGATAATTACTGAAAATCTAGTATACGTCTGACTCCTTTACTTCCTTTATTTAATAATATATTCTTAGAAAATGTAAACTCAGGCCAGGCATGGTGGCTCGTGTCTATAATCCTAGCACTCTGGGAGGCTGAGGCAGGAGGATTGCTTGAGGTCGAGTTCAAGACCAGCCTAAGCAAGAGTGAGACCCTGTCTCTACTAACAATAGAAAAATTAGCCAGGCATGGTGGCTCAAACCTGTAGTCCTGGCTTGGGAAGCTGAGGCAGGAGGATGGCTTTAGCCTAGGAGTTTGAGGCCACTACACTCTAGGGGGGGGGGGGGAGACGGGACACGCCCAGACGACAGAGTGAGACTCTGCCTAACAACAACAAACAAACAGACCAAAATTCATCTAGATTTAGAGTTCAAGTTTCTCAAACCAGGGTAACTGTGTACTCCCAGGGGATGCAGCCATCTGCCAGAGAGAGTTTAAAGCCCACATGATAAATGTAGCACAGCTTCCTGGAGCGTTTTACTCAGTGGTATTGTTATGGCAGATAACCAGCTTTTGACCAGGAAAGAACCGAGAGCCACACAGAAGGTCAGAGAATCAGCTTTTTATTTTGCCGGTGGGCTCAGAGGGGCATACCACCAAACTTTGAACAACGGTTTCTTATTTTTCCCCAGTCTTATACATTTACACAACCAATCAACTATTATCTAATTAGTAGGATCAGCCATAAGCTCTCACATGTAGTGGATTTTGCCTCAGGGCCCTTGGGTAGGGGCTTTTCCCTACCATCAGTAGGATCAGCTGGAAGCTTCACAGGAATCCAATCAGCAGGGCCCTGGGGGTGGGGGGCTCCCTATCACTAGTAGGCTTCACATGCATCCAATCAGCAGTGAGTTCAGCCATGGGGGCCCGGGTGGGGGTTTTTCCCTAATAGTATGGTATTGTAATATTTTATAATAAAATGAACACAAAGAAGTTAGAAAGCAAAATTCACATGAAAATGCAAAGAAATTTTGGACTTGTGGCTGACATTTTTAAGACTATTCCCAGACTCTTGAGAAATATGCTTATACTTTGCTACAACAGGAGTAATTGGGAAATAATGTGAGAAACACTAAAACCATAATATCATCAAGAAAGTGAATCTTCTGTGAATGGAAGCAGGGAGAGGAAGCAGTTGAGGGAAGGTGAAGTTGTGGGGAGTGGGAAGAAAAGAGGATTTGAGGAGGTTACAGACAGGCAAAAATGCAATACAGGATTAGCATCCCAGATCTGAAAACCAGTAATCCAAGATGTTCCAAAACCCCAAATTTCTTGAGCACTGACATGAAGCTCAAAGGAAATGCTCACGGGAGCATTTCAGATTTCTGATTTTCATATTTGGAATGCTCAAACAGTATAATGCAAATATTCCAAAATCCAAAAAAATTTGAAATCCAAAGCACTTTTGGTCCCAAGGATTTCAGATAAGGGATATTCAATCTGTATTATTTTTTACTTCGTCACTGTGTGGATTATATGTGTCAATCTCCCTTCTATCTGAACTTCCGAATTAGAGATAGTCTATTTTTCTTAAGCCTAATTATAATGGGATAAACAATAAAATGATTTTTCTAAAGCAAATTATTCCAGACACAAAAAAGATAATAATAGTCAGTTACTATGTCAGAGTAATGAGATTCTGAGTAATTTGGATTTTTTAGATTTCTGTTATTTCAAAGTTTTTATAATGACCATGTAATACTTTTATTTTATTTTTAAACAGGGTCTCACTCTGTTGCCCAGACTAGAGTGCCGTGACATTATCATAGCTCACTGTAATCTCAAAATCCTGGGCTCAAATGATCCTCCTCCTGAGTAGCTGGGATTACAGGCACATGCTATCACTG